AGATGGATCACCTATTTGCATCCGTCTTAATAGATGCTTTATACCTCTAGACCACATATGTAAAAATGCAATCCAGCCCGCATGAAACAATTTTCCCATTCTTTTTCTTGCCCTAATGTGATTCTACTAGCAGAATCTACGTGCGCCATGTGATTTGAATTCTTTAAAATAAATAGAAGGTTTTTAATAAGAATGTGATTTACATGAGGTTGCAACCTTAAACAAATCAAAGTAAGGTGCATCATCAAATTATATCATAAGAAGTAGTGGCATAAAAAATTTATAGGATGTGCTGTGAAGTAATTTTCATGTCTAATTATAAGCTTTTAGACAAAAAAAAGTGGTTTAAATCAAGTATATCTATAAATAAGTGAAATATAAAAATGGACGGTCTAGATAATATGTTACTCACACAAGTTGTTTTATTATTTTATAGAAATATTAATCTTAAATAAACTACAGCTTCAAGCTATGCAACACGCTATACTTGTGGTGCCACTATGTTGTCCTACCTACTCCTACCTACTCAATTTGTATGAAATTCAGTCAAAATAAGTTAAAATGAATGAATAATTTATTTAAACTAGGCATATTGTTTTATTATAGAGTTTAAAGAGATATTTGCATTGAATTGTTAAAAAATTATGAACCGGAAGTTGTTTGTTATGATATTGCTAGATTATGTTGTAGGAATGTTTTAAATTAATTTTGTAGTAGTGCGATGCGTCATTTTATGTTGCGTTACCCACTTAACTTACATCAAATTTATTTCACTGAAGCCAACATGAATGTAAAATTTATTTTAAATGAATATCTATTGTTTCATTATATATTTGAAAGGGACATGTGCACTACAAACTGACACGTGAGCTTAATGTCTTAATTGCATACAAGAAAAATATACAAGTTTTGTATTGTGGTCTTGTTAGAATATATTGTAAGTTTATCTATAATTAATGTTATATTTTTTAAGTGAATTAAAAAAAATTTAAAACCCTTTAATTTATTTTAAAACATGTAACCTATAACATATTGTAGCAAATTATCTAGACCATACAGAAAAATGGTTTGATAGAGCTGCAGCCCTATTAAAATAACTAAAGCCTTAGCTCAAAACTCCTCGAAATTACAATTTAAGCATTTGAAAACCTGAAATCGATCAATTTGGCTTAAATATTATGATTGTGAAAAAAAATCAGGATTTTAAGTTCTAAAAATAGTATATATTATAGTAAATTATTTAGACCATCCATTTTTCCCTGAAAATTAAGCGTTGAAAGATCCGCAAAACCTTTTTTTAGTTTCAAATGTTATCGTCGGTATTGAAAATTGATTTCCGCCGATTGTCTTTTCGACAAGGAATTGTGGTGAGGCTTTATAGAAACTTCATCCTAGTTTTAAATCAAAGTCAAAACATATAGGATCGGCAGACATCATTGGAGGCTTATGGGAACTCAAGAACATTCAAAATTCCAACGACTGACCGCAGTTATACGGCTCAAACAGCAAAAAACTGATTACTTTGTATCGTGGTTCACTTTCAACTAGCTGATTATTGAATCCTGATCCTTTTCTAGGATCATTGGGGATTGATAACCAGTATACTGACCAATTTTCCCAAAGTTTCCTGTTTTTTTTTTTTGTAACGTTTTTTTCATATTCTTTTTATTTTGATTTTTTTGGAGAAAAAAAAGAAATTTACGTACGGACCTGGTTTTTGTCCCGCGATAATGAAATGGCCCAAAAATATATCGTTAACACCTCGAAGGACGGATCTCCAAAAAAAATTTTACTTTTCAAATATCGGACCGGGGCCAAACTTGAAAAAAAATAAATAAATTTGAGGATCCATTGTTTCAGGTAATAATGCTCTATTTTCGGGTCATTTCATTATAACGGGACAAAAACCCGGCCTATATGTGAATTTTCCCCAAAAAAAAAAAAATCCAAAAACCTGTCCTATTTTCTATCCTTAATAATAGAACACAAAATGTTGGATATTTTTGGAAAATAAAAAATCCCGTCTATTTCGAGGTGTTTTGGTCAAAAAAATAGAAGGGAAAACGATTGAATTATTTGTCAAAAGAGGAAACCCCTTCTATAGGAACCTTCCCCGCTCATGTGTGTAGGACCCCTAAGGATCACCATTAAAGTTGGCATGGATCTCTAGAAAAGTTATCACATGGGTGTGGGATTTGACTTTTCTATAGAGTGTGCCAAATTTAATGGTGGTCCTTTGGGGCCTTACACACATGGGTGGGGGAGGGTCTTATAGGATCATTTCTCTTATTTTTTTGGAAAAAAAAAATTTCAAAAAGCTTTTTTATTTTTTTGCAGATCCAAAAAACAATTAATGAGATACCCTATTATATGTAGAATCCGAATAATATTCAATATATTGGATACTACTTATTTTTTGGTAATATTAATTTAGAATTAACCAAAAAAATCATCAAAATGCTTCCATTCCAAAAAAGTGTCCCAATTTCCATGAAAAATAGTGTTGAAAATAAATAAATAAATAAATTCAAAACCTAATCTCCAAGAAAAATACATTCGTGGATAAAAGGGTGTGGTTTCTATAAGGTTGCAACCTTAAACAATCCAATAAAGGCAAACTTCCAAATTTTATCATAAAATGTAATTTTCTTATAAAAATTCCTTAAGATTATCTGAAAATCTATTTTCATTTGTAATTATAAAAGTTTAAACCCCAAAAATAGTTAAAATCAAGTAGATCTATAAACATATGAAAATCTTGAAAATGGACGGTCTAGATAATGTGTTGCAAAATGCACTATTTTTTAGACTCAAAATCTTTTCTTTTCTTTTCTTTTTTTTTGTCAATTTCATACATCTTGATGTCAAGATGATCAATTAGATGTTTTAAACATTAAAACAATCTTTACCAATGGATTTTGAGATGCATTTTAAATTCTACCTTTTAAAGTTGCAACCTTATATAAACTTTTTCCTGGATAAAAACTCGTAACTCTAAAGTCTAAACCCAAAAACCACAAACAAAGAACTCCGGTACAAAAGAAGAGAAGCCGAAAACAAAAGATCATTTCACCGTTTACACATATCCAAATTTTCCACTCAGATTTTTTTTAGACCAATGTGATATATTCACCGTATTTTTATTTACAATATTTTTGCTTATCCATATTTTCCACTTTAATTTTTACATTCGATTAGTCGGACCGAAAACGATTTAATTTGTAAATCCCCGACTTGCTAACTGTGCTCAATAAGCTACAGACGCAACATGCAAGTCTAAGCAAAGCACTTGGGCTAGCTATCTATCTCATCATCATTGAATAGAGTTCGGCCACGTCGATAAAATTTATACGTTCAGCTGAGCTAGCTATAGGATTGTCATAATTTCTCTTGATTTAGAATGGTTTGGCACAAAATGGGGCCACAGTGTTTAAAATTGACTTCCCGTATTTTGCCGGCAATAAAATTAATGAAAGGGCAGCTTAAACAAAAATAAATCTCCTTTATTTCCTATTTTATGTGCAGGAGAGAGTGTTTATGTTTTGGGAAAATATAGAATGAGACTATTTATTTTGATGCAAGGTAGTCACAATAATCTTGACCATTAGGTGTTATTCTATTGACCAAGCTCAAACTTCAAAATAAATTTTTTCAAACTTTGTAACACATCCCAGCTATCAAATTTCACACCAAATAGTTTTAAGGAATTGTGACCAGCATGTATCAAAAGTAAATAGTCTCTTTATATACAAAGTTTTTCAATTGTATTTTTTCTGTTCATCTCATTAGCTCAAATTTACAGAGTGCATACCTCTCACTATCCCTTATATATAAAAATAAGATTTATCAAGAAAGGAAAATTGTTTCATACAGGCTGGACCGCATTTCTACATATGCGGTCCAAAAAGCATCCATCATAAAGATGGATGCAAGCAGGTGTTCCATCTAAAAACAATAGAAACTAACAGTCCAAATGTTTTTTTACTAAAATTATTAATTTTAGTTTCAAAAAATTATTTATTTTTTATATTCATGATCTCCATGTTAGAGATTATATGTCCTCAAAAATTAAGTCTTAAAATCCATCTCAAAAATAGATTTATTAATAAGCCCGCATTTCTACATATGCAAGCTTGGCCGCATAATAACCGGGTCCATAAAGAAATAGCATATCTAAAATACCCTTGAATCTTATTAGGGTATTTTTGGCTATTATAATTATTGAATTACTTTTTTATACTTTTTCTTTTACACCCGAGCTTAATCCTATCCACTATATAGACTTTCAAAAAGCGGAATAACTCAATGGGGGAAGACATGCCTATCCGTTTTTTCAAATAATTTAGGAATTAAATTTTTTGATAGTGTTGGTAGGGTGCTGTCAGTGCAATGAAAACCACTAAGTGGTGATTAAGGAGTAGGGGTGCCACCACCACGATTTCAGCTCTTTATATAAAATAAATAAATCAATAATAATAATAATAATAATAATAATAATAATAATAATAATAATAATAATAATAATAATAATAATAATAATAATAATAATAATAATAATAATAATAATAATAATAATAATAATAAAAGAGTAAAAGTGAGGCTCAAGTATAAAGCTATGTTGGAGTTTATCTTTGAATTCCAAAAAAAAACATTTTGGAGTTTTGGGTAAATTTGCCTTTGTAGAGTCTTCTCAAGAAAAGCCTCTAGAACTCATCACTAAAAGAGAAATAAAAGAGACACGTGTATTTCTAGTTTGTCTCCTTCTCTTTTTTGGAAAGTCATAAGGATTTCATACTTTGAAACCCAAAACCTGGAAATTGAAATGGTCCACTCAAACTTGGCAATCACTCAATAAACTCAATCCGCGTTGTTTTCCTTCTTCAATTTTGACCCGTAATCAACATTCTACAAACTTCTATACAGAGTTCACATTCCGAAGACATGTATATCAAGAGATAAACAGCCATCAACCATACAATAAACATAAGCATCACAAAGCGATGGCTAATTCCCCAACTTTATACATTATTCCCATCATATTTGCCTCAGTCTTCGTCTTCCTTGTCTTGATATCAATACTGATTAGAATTTTCTGTTCAAGATACCGAGGATCTGGTGGCGGTGTGCCAAACATCGAGGGTCAGAATCATGGGATGGTTGAAATTGAAGGCCTTGATGATGGTCCAGATGATATAGGTGGTGATCATCGCCAGTCGGACACCAGATATGACGGCACAGGAGGTGGTGATCATGGCCATTGGGACCATGGAGGTCACGGCACTGGAGGTGGTGATCATGGTCATTGGCACCATGGAGATCATGGTGCCGGAGGTGGCTATCATGGTCATTGGCACCATGGAGATCATGGAGCCGGAGGTGGGTTTACCGGCGGCAGTGGAATAAGTTGTGACACAGGAGGAGGAGGAGGAGGAGGAGGAGGAGGGGGGTTTTCGGGTGTCAGTGGAGGTGTTATTTGAAACCTTCCTTCTTGTTGGACTATAGTTAAGGGGTTCTATACAAAATCATATGGAGTATATTGTTTATACGGTGTATGTAGTCATCACCATCCCTTATCAGTGATGGATGGTGCAAATTTTTATTTATTTTATTTGTGCAAAGGGATGTATTACTTTTTTTTTATTATTTTTTAAAATTATTTTGAGAATTCCTTTTACAAGCATAATGATCTGTTCCTTCAAAAAATTGAAGCTAGCATAAATTTAATACCGTAATTGAAATTGATGACATTAGGGATGGTTGCCCCTTTTGCATGACTGGAATATTGTATCTGGCATTTAAATTTTTTCAACTGAACTTCAGAAGATGAAATGTTTTAGCAGGGTTATCTAACATATGGTCCTTAATGGTGAAAACTCAAGCCCATTTTTACTCTGATATCAGGTGATTCTTATTTATTTTACTTTGTTATTGTCATTTTTAACGAGATTGGGGATTGTAATTCAAGGACCTGTCACATATCCCATACTTTGAACTCAAAGAGGAGAGGTAGAGAAACGTCAAAAAAAATCAGAGAGAGAGAGAGAGAATTAAGATTTGACATTAGCTTACTTTGCTGTTGTGATTTCATTGAGATTTCTCCCCCTTGGCAGTGGAAGAATCAGACAATGATTTCTGTTAATTATTTCTCTCTGCATAAATTGTTACAAGTGGTTCTATAATTGTAGATCTCCAATATTGTATTGACAATCATTTTTTGTTAATTATTTCATCTGTAATTTTTCATTTGTCTTCTCGCTGTATACAGATTGGTGCATATCATTCGTTTGCCTGCCCTTATGTAGTATTGTTGTGGGTAAGTCGCCTGAGTCCACTGGGACTCAGGAGTAACTCGGCCTTGTCCTTTCTCCAAATTGGGAGCACAACTCTAGGATATAAAAAATTTTCAAATTTTATTTAAAAATTGTTGGATTGTTTTATAATCTTTTGTACATTTTTGGATGTATTTAGCTGAGATTGATTAGTTTTTTTTTTCTATACTATATTTATATTTTCTTCCTTTTTTGTATTTTTTAAATGTCCCATACTATAAATTGGTTTTTTCTAAATCCATTTGTTCTCTACATTTTTTTAGTTTGTTTTAAGCTTTTAAGATTATTTTAGGTATAAATTTACTTTTAGTACATGTTTTTTTCTTTTCTAAACTTCTTAGCCAAGTAACTCACCTCGGCCTTGCAGCTGGGAGTGAGTCTCGAGATACTGTGTAGTATTTTCTTTTTATCGTTTATCTTTTTCAATACTCAATGAGAAATTAGATTGAAGGTGTGATATCTTGATGTCGTTAATATAGTTTTATAGTTTGGTTTGTTCGATTTAGCGATTTTCAAAATCACCTACATAAAAAAATTCCATATCATATAGGATTGGGATTGATATTAATAAGTTTCTTAAAGGAAATAGAATCCAATTAGTTTAGGATTCTTAGTTATATCTCTTAGTTTTTTAGATATATGTATAACCAATTTTCTATTTAGTGTTGATTCCTAACTTTGTGTATATGAGATGAAAGATGGAAGAATTGGTGTGCTGTATTTGGGTCACCATATGGGAAATGTGGCTTCTTCATTAGAGCTCCCTTTAGAAAGACTAGGTTCCCTTGAGAGAGAAAACAGTTTCCTATGTAGAGAAACATTTCGATGGTGCCTCTAATGGATTGAGAGACTAGTTTCTTGTAAAGAATCAGCTCTTATAAAAATTTTGGGTGTTTTTTTTTTAGTTAAAAAAAGTACAGGTTGCTCTCAAGGTTTTCTACCTGTATAGTAATTTAGTTATGGAATCGAGGTAGTTTTATAGAGAGAAACATTATACCTCGTATAGACTGATAGACTGGTTTCTTGTAGAGAAACAGTTCTAATGGAAATTTTGGATGGTTCTCTCTCAATTAAAGAAATTGTCGGCTGCACTTAGGTTATCTGCATGGATAGAGGTTTAATTGTAGAATAGAGATAGTTCTCTCTTGGTAAAGGGGTTTAGTTGTAGAATAAAAATAGTTCTTGGACAGTAATTTAGTTATGGGTTTAATCGAAAGAGTAGGTCTAATAAAGTTTCGACATCGAGATTTAAGTTTAAAAAACGTTTGCTAGAGTGGGTTTTATCGATGGTTAAAGAGGCCACTTAATGTCCCAAAATCTTTATGTAACTTTCAACTTTGACCTTTTTGTAATTTGATAATCGCCGCACATCCTTGGAGGCTTATCCGAACTCAAACGTGCGGCATTCGTACATTCAAATTAAAAATTCCAACGATTTAGCCGGACCGTAGTTCTACGTCTCAAACAGCAAAAACTGATGGTTTGTATCGTGTTTCACTTTCAACTCGTTGATTATTAAATCCTGATCCTTTTCTAGGATCATTAGGGATTGATCACCAGTATACTCACTAAAAGCTTTGTGTTGCAATAACCAGTATCATGGATTTTCACTTGCAAACCATTGTGGTACAGATTGATTTGTACTTAGGGGTTTATCTTCGGTGATATTGAGCTAGAACCATTATGCATCAATCCAGGAACACATCTATATAAAGGATTTGGTACTCCACGTTTATTTTGCTGCATACGCGGAGAACCTCATGGTTTTTTTATATATATTTGAGTGATTTACCTGCGGATTTAGGTAAAATACCAAATGTTTAAATTACATGCTAAAATTACAAAGGTTGGTCAACATATATTTTTTTTTTTTTATTTCAAAATTGCACCTCAGTCAACTCAAATTTTGATTAATGGTTTTTAGTTTTTTTTAGCTTTTTCGTTAGTAGGCCATGCTTTAAAGTTTGAGGCATTACCCTACTAAAAGAAAAACTAAAAAAAATTAATAGTATTAAAATTCGGGTTGACCAAGGGGCAATTTTGAAAAAAAAAAACCGATTGGCTGACCTTCTTTATAATTTCATAATATAAACGGATCATTTTATATTTTACCTAAAATTTTAGTGTATGTACATTTCAAAATGGTTAACTGAAACGCAATTATTAATTCCACATGTAAAGTGATCCGTTTTTGGCACAAAATCTCTAGAACTTGAGAGTTATCTAATGATTCCATGGAGTTTGAAGATGCTAAACATGAGCCTCAATTTTCAAAATTTGGGTCCTCGAAAGCTTAAAAACATTTCAGGTTTGAAGTAGTTTACTAAAACAACAAACAAGAATGATTGTGACCTCCTTGTATAAAAAATAAATAGTCTCTTTATAGACAACCCCGTTCAATATAAACGGTACTAATACCGTATTTGTGATAAATGTACATAATTAATGTGAAACTTTTGCATAACCGAGGTAAAAAAGATTAACTAGATCCAAAATGCATCGCTAGGTTTCAAAATTGCTTAATCAACGTTAATGCAACCATTGAACTGTGGTCGTTGAATTAAGCCTAGTGCACGCTTGAAAAAGAGCTCTATAGAAGATCCAGCCTCGGACAAGCATTCATTTGGTCCATGGTTAGATCGATTATGTTGGGAAAATCTCCAAAAAGAATTATTAACCGCAACTAATGCTTTAATACATAGATTAACCTTAATATAAAAGATTTTTTAATTACACCCTTTAAACACTTGAAAAAACTTGTTCCAAGATTGAATAGAAATCGTCTAATTTGTTGAACTAACCAAATATTTACAGGTGCCATTTGTATAAAGCTGAGCCTCTAAACAATCAAAGTAAAATGCATTTTCAAATAATATCGAGAAATGGGGTTTCAATACTAAAAACCTTTGCGATACCCTTAAAATATATTTTCATATTTAATTATGAAATTTAAAGCTTCAAAAATAGTATAGACCGAGCAGATCTATGAAAGCTTGAAAATCTTGAAAATTGGCTGTTCAAAAATACATTACAAGATACACTATTTTCAAAACTTGAAATCCTTTTTTTTTTTATATCCATGCTTCTTAATGTTGAGATGATCATCAATATGAGGATATTTGGGCATCAAAATGACATCTTCTAGTGAAATTTTTTAGGTGAGTTCTAATTTGATTGTTTAGAGCCTTAGCTTTATGTAAACTTTTTCTTTTTTTTTACCCTCTATTTTTACATATCAAAGAAAAAAACTTTCCTGTTTTTTTGGATATTCTTTCTATTTTGACTTCATGGACCCAGTTTCTATGAGTCCACGGACTTGTAGAAATGCGAGGATAAAAACCTATCACTCTTTTTCCGTTTCAAAAAAAAAAAAAAGATTGGCCATTATGCCTCCAATTGTCATAATTTATCTGGAAGTAGACAAGTTTGGCAGAAAATGGGCCAGAGTGGACCGCAGTTTTTAAATTTGACTTTCCCCATTTTGGCTCCAATAAAATTAATAAAAGGGCAGTTTACACAAATATAAATCTAAAAAAGTTCTCCTATATTTCCCTCTTTTTTTCTTTTTTTCTTTTTTTTTTACCAATTATATTTCTTGTTTTATGTTCAAATGCGAATTTGGAAGAGTATTAAGTTTTTCAATTTTATTCTTTTCTGTACATCTCATTAGCTCAAATTTGTGGCGTGCATATTTCTCACCATCCCTTACATCGAACATTATAAAAATAAGACTTTTAAAGAAGGGAAAAGTTTATATAGAGCCGAGGCTCTCAACAATCAAATTGATGCCTATCACAAAAAGTTCACTAGAAGATGTTATTTTGAAGCCTAAATATCCTCAAATTGATAATCTCGACATCAAGGTATATGGTCATGAGAAAAAATAGATTTCAACTTTTGGAAATAGTGTATTTTATAACGTAATTTTCGACCGTTAATTTTCAAGTTTTCATAGATCTGTCGATCTACACTATTTTTGAAGCTTTAAACTTTATAAATAAATATGAAAATATATTTTAAGGCTATTACAAAGATTTCCATAATTGAAACCACATTTCTTGACACTTTTTGAAGAATAGGCTCTAATTTGATTGTTTAAAGCCTAGGCTCTACACAAAACGCATCCTTTAAAGAAATAACATAACTAA